CGAAAGATTGGTAGGATTTGACTATGGCGCCGCGAGAGTGGTTCTTAGCTGTAGGGATGGTAGTGCAGGGGCAGCCATAGTTGTTCTAAATCAGGACATCGAGGTGGTTGCCCTGCAGGGGCTCAGTGATAGGTACTGCGCCGCGGCTAGTCTCAGGAAGAGACATGGTCGGGCGGTCGTCTTCGTGTCAGCTTACTTCAAGTACAGCATCCCGACACGCGTCTTTACGGATAGGTTAGGCGTTTTTCTGGATAGGGTAAACCAAGACGTCGTGATAGGCGCCGATGTGAACGCGCATTCGCCGCAATGGTTCAGTCGGATGGGCAACAACTCGGGTTCAGCCCGGGGGACCCATGTCGAATCCCTTATCGCGGAGAAACACTTGACGGTGCACAACCAGCCTGGCCACCTCGACACGTACGAGAGGCCGGGCATGGGGGCATCGAACATAGATGTGACTCTAACGAGAGGGGGTTCCTTGTCGAACGCCGTTTCTGAATGGGAAGTGCTCGATATCACCGACAGCGATCACAGGACCATCAGATTCAAGATCCACGTCGGATCAGGGTCGGAAGGACCCGCGGTAGGGAAAAGTCGTTTTAACGTTAGGAAAGCCGACTGGGATAGGTTTAGGTGGGTTCTAGCCCAGGAAGTCAATGGTGACCCTGAGACCATGGTGGGCGGTTGCGGACAGGTAGCGGAGTCTCTGACGCGAGCCTTGGGCAAAGCGATGGAGGCCTCCATGCCCCGCTCCCGCAAGTCCGTTAGGATAAAACCGCCATGGTGGGACGCTGGACTCGAAGAGTCCAAGAGGCGTCTCAATAACTTCAGGCGTACCAAAGACTACAAAGTCTCGGATAGGGACCAATTCAGAGTGCTCAGGAACGAGCATCTGAAAAAGATTAGGAGGGCCAAGATGGAGTCGTGGAGGAAGTTCGCTACCTCCAGCAACTCAGACGTCTGGGGTCCGGTCTACCGTTGGGCTAGGAATGGTTCTTCGAAATGTAGGATTCCTAACGCTGTGCTCCGGAGTGACGGAACCTTCACGGTTACGGCTTTGGAGACGGCTGAGTGTCTGTTGGAGAGTCTTATTCCCAGGGATAGGACTGCTCCCCTCTTTTCGGATGAGTGTGTAGGTAGAGTGAGACCGGAGGTCTCGGAGGCTGAGGTTAAGAGGGCCGTCTGGAGGATGGCACCTAACAAAGCTCCGGGACTGGATGGAATCACCGCTGGGGTGCTCAGGAAGGCCTGGGGCGTTATAGGTACGCCGCTAACCAACGTCTTGCGCGAGTGCCTCAGGAAGTCGGAATTTCCGGACTGTTGGAAAACAGCTGAGGTAGTAATTATCAGGAAGGGAGAGGATAGGGACCCGAGTCTTCCTAAGTCATACAGACCGGTTAGTCTGCTCTCGGCACCGTCAAAAGTGTTGGAGCGGCTGGTGGTGGACAGGCTTGAGGAGGAAACGGGGGGTGCTCTTTCTGAAGAGCAACATGGTTTTAGAGTCGGCAAATCCACGATCAGCGCGATTAGGTCGTGTCTGAACTGGGTGGATAACAGTGAAGGAATGGTAGTAGGAATCTTCTTAGATATCTCGGGTGCTTTCGACAACCTGAGATGGGACGTTCTGATTAGGGATATGATGGATCTTGGAGCGTCTGACGCCACCAGATCTATCATTCAGAGTTATCTGACGGGCAGAAGGGCGGTGCTCTCGGTGGAGGGAGCGACAGCATTCGCGGATCTCACCAGAGGCTGCCCTCAGGGCTCACAGTTAGGGCCAAGTCTTTGGAACCTCTCGATGGATAGGGCGTTGGTTACCAACAATGACGATAGGGTTAAGCTGGTCGCGTATGCGGATGACCTGGCGGTTCTTATCGCGGGCTCCGATCTTGTGGAGATCAAAGGGATAGCGAGAGCCACGCTCGGTGCTTTGCGCACATGGGCGAGTCGGAGAGGTCTAACCTTTTCCGCAAGTAAGTCTCAAGCGATTCCCTTGAAAGGCGGACTACGACCAGGTTTCACCATCCCTTTTGGGACGGAGAATATCGTGGCCGTAGGTTCAGTTAGGTATTTGGGCGTTGAACTGGACAGTAGGAGAAATTTCTGGGCGCACGTTTCGAGCGTGGCAGGAAAGTCCGACTCTCTATATAGTAGGCTTAGAGCGGCATCGTCTGCAGACTGGGGCCTCCAGCAGTCCACCTCCGCCGTAATATACAGGGCGGTTTTCCTCCCACGTATCACTTACGCTGCGGAGATATGGTCTAAAGGGGTGCTCACGGCCAAGGCGATAAAACTCCTCGGCAGCAAGCAGAGGAGGGCCCTCCTCTCTATCACAAGGGCATACAGAACGACCTCAACAGACGCGTTGCAGGTCGTTGCTGGGCAGCTGCCTCTGGATTTGGAAATTCAATGGTTCGTGATTAGGTTAAACAGGAAAGCTGGTCTGATCTCGGAGGAGGAGATGGGAGACCAGTGGAATAGGATACTGGTCAAGTGGCAGGATAGGTGGGACGTCAGTGATAAGGGTCGTTGGACACATTCACTGATTCCCGATATTAGGAGGAGACTGGAACTCCCTCTTGAGGTGGATCACTACGTGTGTCAGTTCCTCACGGGGCACGGGGATTTTAACGCCAAGTTGGAATCCTTCACCCTGCGTGGTTCGGGTGCGTGTAGGTGTGAAACTGAAGACGAGACGGTGGACCACGTACTCTTCAGGTGCCCAATCCTTTCTGTTGAGAGGAGTCGGGTCATCAGGCAGATAGGCGAGGACGCATGGCCATGTCCGACCAAGGTGTTTCTGGACACAAGGTCGAACTACTGTGCTCTGCGTCGCTTTGCTAGGGAGGCCATCGAGGCCAAAAGACTTTCTGACAGGTTAGGCTAAAAAAAAAAGGTTAGGTAGGCCCTGTCTTAGGCGACGGGAGGGTTGGTGGAGACCCTGGGCAAGCATTTCGGTGCTGGTCCGAATCTCTACCGGTGGCCCACCACTAGCCGGCAGGGGGAGCCAGAATAGTGGGAGGCATAAAACCTTCGCAGAAACTACAGCAAACTCATACTTTCCAAAAAAAGATCAAGCAATAATCTTCAACACGATCCAAGATGTGCCACAAATTGAATACATCAAAGCATTCAGCCAACTAACCCCTCCAAATAATATAAAATTCGCATCACGCATCTCAAACAATAGGTTCTGCATATACTTTGCGAGCAAAAACATAGTTGAAAAAATCATCACAAAACAACCGTATATCACAATAAACAACACGGAAATATCTTATCGCCGTCTTATTAACCCAGCTAAACGCATAATAATATCCAATGTCCAACCGGTTATACCACATGACATAATCGCAAAGGCAATTAACGATCTCTCTATTATAATGGTATCACCAATTACATTTATGAAGGCCGGATTCTCTAATGAAGAGTTCGGTCATATAGGAAGCTTCAGGCGTCAAATGTATATACACCCTGAGCACAGTGACAAAATTCCAGGCTCCATTCTAATACAATTTGACCAAACTCAATACCGTATATTCCTTTCTGACGATACCGTGACCTGCTATTCGTGCAAAAAAACAGGTCACACCTCGAATCACTGCAAAAATATAATAGAAAATAAAGCTGACTCAGTACACTTTAATAACACAAACATCACTCTGGTTAAAAACGACACAGACCTCAATAAACAGATAACACAAAATTCCGTTGGTGACAGCACTGACACAGATATATACATCGGAAAAAATCTCAAGGTAATAGATACCAGTACACCCACCACACAAGAACTTACTGCTCAAGAAAAAAGGCCCGCACCATCCACCTCGAATAGTAGCTACCATGAGAACACCCCTACCTCAACCCCAAATGAACCCACACCACCATCAACAGAAACTGTAAATAAACGGATAAACACTGGTACACTCGCAACCAAATTGAAAGATTCTGCCAAAACTCCTCAACCTCTGACCAAAAAACCAAAGCGCTCAAATTCAATTGAACAAATATTAATCAAACTGGATGAAGCATTACTTCCAGCAAAAACTGTTTTTGAGAATATACCAAACCGAAAAATTGACTTCGACCAACTAAAACATATTATTGAAAACACACTTTCTGTGCAAAACCCAACCAGTGTTTTAACTCCATTCAATATTTCGTCCATGGAAATGATCGAAATTTTGGAGACTGTCCGACCTAAAATCAAAAGCCTATGCATCAAGAACAGACTTACGAGACTAGCTAACTTACTGCTCGACTCGTCTCCCCTCACCGAATCCACCTAACTTCTCCCAACACAACAAAAACAACTTCCATTTATTGTATACATTGCATTTTAAATAAATTATCCTATTATGAAGAACCTGAATATAGTACAATGGAATATAAATATCATCATCAAAAAACGACCCGATCTACAACTAATAATACAAAAATATTCACCCATGTGTATCAGCCTTCAAGAAACAAATCTTAAAAACAATTTCATACCTAATATCAAAAACTATAATATATTCTACACAAATCGACAAAACAGTATTCGGGCTAGCGACGGCGTCGCTTCTCTAATACACACGAACTATCCCTGCGAACAAATCCCAATCTATTCAAATCTAGAAGCCATAGCAGTTCAGATAACACTAGAATCAAAAATTTCAATATGCAATATATACATCCCAAACCAAACATCTTTTAACACATCCGATATAGACAACATCATCAAACAACTCCCCAAACCATTTATTTTACTCGGAGACTTCAATAGTCATAGTGAATACTGGGGCTCAGACATAACTGACGCCCGGGGCAGATCAATTGAAAAAATCCTAGATAATGACTCGATTACACTACTCAACAACGGCGAACCTACCAGACTCAACCCGTCAAACAGTCATTTTTCCAATATTGACCTATCCTTCTCAAGTGTATCGTTAGCCCAAAGAATATCTTGGTCAATTCTACATGAAGTATACGACAGTGACCACCTTCCTATTTTAATGACACTCTTATCCACCAAAACACTGCCACCTCCTTACTCATATAGATGGAAATTAAAAAACCCGGACTGGTTTTTTTTTAATACTCTAGTTGATTCTTTTATGCAAGAAAATCCCCAATCTGATACCAGCACAATAGAGAACGATATCACGTTCATTTCAGAGTCCATTATTAGAGCTGCAGAAATAGCCATAGGAAAAACATCCAACTCGATTAAAAGAAACCGAGTTCCCTGGTGGAATGACCTAATAAGAGAGTCAATCAAACAAAAAAACAAAGCTCTAAAAACGTTCCAAAACTCAAAAAACATGTCTGACCTCATAAAACTTAAACAACTCCGAGCGAAAACTCGATACCTAGTCAAAAGAAGTAAGACTGACTCTTAGAAAACTTTCACTTCCAGTTTGGGACCTAAAGCTGACTCAGTTCTGATATGGCGCAGAGTTGGGTCACTCCGAGGCTTCTCCAAGAACCACCATGTCCACATCATGAAAGACACAAAATTATGCGCTGATCCCGACGAGGTATCCAATCTCCTAGGAGACTCCTTCTACCATAATAGCTCGGATGAAAATTACAATACAACTTTCTTTGAAAACAACGTACATATGAGGAACCAACATCTTATTTCTAACATCAGCCCACATCTTAATGAACAAACAAAACTCAACTCTCCAATACTGTTAGCTGATATGTACAGAGTTTTACCAAAATGTAATAGTCTTGCCCCAGGACCAGATGGGATACCTTATAAATTTATCCACAACCTCCCTATGAGCGCCTTAAATTCAATTATTCGAATATACAACAAAATATGGTCATCCGGACATATACCACGAAATTGGAAGCACTCCATAATTATTCCCATCCTCAAACCGGAAAAAAAAACAAATTTGAAACTAAATCATACAGACCAATATCCCTCTTGAATACCATGGCAAAGATATTGGAAAAAATTATAGATTTTAGACTTAGATGGTTTCTTGAAAAAACAATTTGTTGGACCCTCGTCAGAACGGCTTTCGAAGACATAGAAGTACCACTATCACATTACATGACATACAAGAGGAAATACATTCAACACTCGAAGCAAAACAAATGATGGGCCTCATAGCCCTTGACATATCAAAAGCATATGATACTACATGGCGCCCTCGTATTATTAAAATATTATCAAACATTTTCTGTAAAGGTAATCTGTTTAACTTTATAAAGAATTTTCTTACCGACAGGACCTTCCAGGTTAAGAGCAACGAAAAACTGTCCAAAATTTACATTCAAAACAATGGCGTACCCCAAGGATCTACACTATCGGTATCGCTTTTCCTATTAGCGATTAATGATATTCCACTAGGTATACAACCTCCTGTTAAGTGCACACTATATGCTGATGATTTCAATATATTCTGCAGAGGCATCAATACAAATAGAACTATAAAATACCTACAGAATGCAATAACTGCACTACAAGACTGGTCACTTGTCTCAGGTTTCTCTTTTTCAGTCGAAAAATCACAATGTATCTTCTTCACTAATAAAAGAAATATTGGTAACACCACCATATCTATGAACAACACCCCCATACCAATAAAAAACACCATCAAAATATTAGGCATACGGTTCGATTCTAGAAACACGTGGATACCTCATCTCAAGACCACCCGAAAAGACGCACTTCTAAGAATGAATACGCTTAAATGCCTCGCCCACAAGTCGTGGGGAAGTCACTCTTCTAGCCTTTTACAAATATATAAAGCATTTATTTTCTCCAAACTCGAATACAACTCTTATCTGTTCATAAAAGCTAAGGCAACAGCACTCAAAATGATTGATACCGTACACAACACAGGGCTAAGACTAGTTACTGGGGCCTTTTGTTCAAGCCCGATTCCCAGCGTCCTTAATACAGCCAGAATAACCCCACTCGACATCAGGAGAGTACATAGCTCCATACTACTAGCAACCAGACGCACCCAAATCAACCTCAAGGTAATGAATCAAATGAATGACACCCTTAAAGACCTTCCATTTTCTCACCTGAACGTTATCAAGAACGAAATCATACAGACACTCCCTTGGCTATTAAACAACCCCATTAACAGTGAACTAAGTAAATATTCGAAGGACGACACCGCACCCATAATTTATAAACAACACCTATGTTCAATCACCTCCAGGTTTCACGATTGTACCAAAATATACACGGACGGTTCCAAAATGGAAAACGGTGTCGGAGAGGCTGTAGTAGTCCAAGACCACGTTTCCATGCTGAGACTACCTAATTTTTGCTTAATATACACAGCCGAAGCAATGGCCATATCATTCGCCCTAGACCTCATCAAAACAAAATGCATACATAAAGCAGTAATCCTTAGTGACTCACTTAGTACCTTGAGGAGCATTGAAAACATCTCCAACCCAAATGAGATCGCCAGAAAAATCCAGAACCAGATCTACAACCTTACACAAACCGGCTACTCGATTACCTTAATATGGATACCCAGTCACAATCAAATTCCGGGAAACGAAAGGGCTGATGAAATAGCACGCCAAGCAATAACCTCCACTAATGCCATTAGACTTAATTACTTTACCCTGCACGACGCCAAATCCATATCCAGTACAATAGTAAACAACATATGGCAACGGGCATGGAATCAAGGTACCTCAAAATTAAACCAAATTAAAAACACCATCCACACATGGCCCTCTCCACCAGGCTGCTCAAGGAAAATGGAAACCGCAATTAATAGAATTCGTATAGGACACACATCGATAACACACCAGTATCTGATGAAGAAGGAAGACCCACCACTATGTATCAGCTGCGGTGTCCCTCTCTCAATAAAACATATTTTCACGGAATGCCTTTTGTACGAGACGGAGAGACAAGAAACGGGCGTCTCAAACATCCTATCGGAAGCTTTACACCCGGACAATATAGAAAACGCTATAAAATTTATTTGTAAATCTAACATAATTAATAATATTTAATATTTATATGTAACAACATGTTAACTCTTTGTTGCCAATGGCCATAGTTGCCGAGGTTTTAATTAAAAAAAAAAAAAAAGTATTATTATTATTATTATTATTGTTATAACTATTTCTATTGTTTTTAATTAATTCACATTTTTATTGTGTACAGTAAATTGTATTTTTTTTTAATATCATTAAATACATACACATAATTTATTAATATAAAAATACGAGTTTTAAATTTTAAATTTGGCGAGAAACAGTTTGGCCACCACCAACGAGAAATTTCACTGAGCGCACGGCGGTCATCCGCACGTTTTCGTGATGACTGATGAGTACTGTAAATTACTAACCATCTGATTGATATTAGTTATCAGTAAACACCAATAGTGCGCTAAATAGGTGTGGACTGTAATGTGCAATGGGCCGCGACGGAGCCGTTAGTTATTTTTACGCAAACCGTGCCATGTGCCATGCTGATAACAATTATTGTTTTAATCCCTTTTTAGTCAGTTATATTCAACTTAATTTATATTATATTACATTGTAATATATTAGTATTGTATATTGTTTTATACCTGTAATATTTATTTTTATAATGGCTAAATATTCTTTATTCGACAAATATATATTTGACATTTTAAACATTGGTCGTGATTCTTCATCATTAAATCTGTCATCTTTATTGAGTGACAATGAAGGAGAAGTTAAGTAATTTCCATATGATGAATTTCTACAGTTTTTAGACCAATTTTCTAAAGAAGATTTTACACAAATAAATGATTATTGTGAAAGTGAACATGAATCAGTCGAAGTAATTATTATAAATAATGACATACAAAATAATATAGCTGTTTGCAATGATATACCATTCGATTTAACGTTAAACACATCACGTTTCATTACCTACACCAATTTCAAATTCAAATAATTTTCCAGTTTGTTTTGAAAATGTTGATGCTATTACAAAACAACATATAATTTGGTCAGAAAACCCATTTAAAATTTTATTTTTATCTTTAAATCGTGTTGAAACATCAGATTACCCAAATAAATTACCTCGTCCATTGGATTACTTTATAAAATATTATTTTCATGACGTATTTAAGGATATGGCCAAGTATACTAATATGTATGCTGAATAAAAAATGACTTCAAATTTAAAAAAAAAAACATCTTCGTCCGAAATGAAAGTTTTTGTTGCTATTCTCGTGTTATATGGTGTTCTTAAATACCCCAGAACACGAATGTATTGGGAAGAAAATATTAAGTTAATATTGTTTCTGAAAATATGTCGAAAAATCAATTTTATGAATTAAAGTCACTCTTATGTAATCAAAGTATCTGGGAAAATAATTATAATTTCTTCGTTAAAGTTCGCCCTTTATACAATTCGTCCTAAAAAATGCAATGATTTTCCCGTAGAACAATCATTGTACGTTGACGAATAAATCATACCATATAAAGGCAATTTAAAAGTTAAACAATATATTAGGGATAAATCTACGCCTTGATGTGTGAAAAATTATCTTCTATGTAGTGATTTAGTTTATAACTTTATTTTATATTAAGGAACCACTCCAAAAGTTAACGACAATATGAAAAAAAATTTGGTCTTTGTGGTGCTTAAGTCTTGAAATTAGTTGGAAAATTAAAAAAAAATCACATTATTTATATTTTGATTATTTTTTTTCCTCTATAATTTATTTTGTGTGTTGTTGAAAAATAAAATATATGCAGCTGGTACTATTAGACAAAACCATTATGCCAATCCTTCGTTTCCAAATGATAAAACACTAGCCAAAATGGAACGAGACTCTTGTTATGAAGTAACATCAAACCATACAATTGGTTTGACTAAATGGTTTAATAACAAAACCGTATACATGGGATCAAATTTCATTACATTTGATAACTCTATTATTACCGTCAAAAGATTTGATAGAACATTAAAAACTATTATAGATATTGCACACCCAGAAGAAGAACGACACAACTCAAATATAACAATTATACAGTACAGGTAAAAATCATAATGGCTAAAAATTAAAATTAGCATAAAAATTAAATTTCTCATTCTACATACTTGGTATTTACACCAATAGATTCAAATTCATACACTCTATCAAACATGTATCCTACAAATTTAAAAGAGTTTTGGGTCTAATATTAAAATTAGTTATGTCTATTTTACTTTTTATTTTTTTTATCATAACTTTTGAGTTGGGTCTATTTGTAATAACTAGAGTTAGGATGTTGATGACTTGCATTTTTTTCCTTTTATTTTGTACAATGCTATCCTTGCTAAAAATTTGTTTCATGCTCCCTTGATGCAGAATATTCTAATTTTATTTTGCATTTTTTGTACTTTTTATACAATGTGAGGCATTTTTCACAAATTATAGATTTTAGGGCAAATGTTACACAAAATATGTTACGCAAATATTTTTAATATAATTTTTTTTATTTATATTTTACTTTTTAATTTATTTTTAATATTAAAATTTATTTATAAATTATTTAAATGCTTCTACTATTACACCCATTATTATACCTATATTTCTAATAAAAATAATTATTTATAAATAAGTTTTTTCACTTACTTAATTAGTATTTTAGATAACTTTTAAGGTCATTTTTTGAAGTTTTTAGGGCATTTTTGTGTGTTTTTTAGGTCATCAACATCCTAACTCTAGTAATAACTAAGAGAACACGTACTATTAATTTATATGATTGTTGCGTTACATTATATTTTATTTAACATTTGGTAAGTTTAAAAAAATATCAATTTATAAGTCATAAGTAGAAAATAATTAGTTACACTACTCTTAAAATAAAACTATAATATCAAAAAAAAAAAAAAAATTTGTCTATTGCGGCACGTACATGGGTACTATTTTTATAATACAAAAAGTCATAAAATATCATGTTTAAATACTATGAAAATAATTATGATATAGTTTGGGTATTAAATTTTGCTTACACAATTCTAGCAAATCACATTTTTTTGCTGCACTTATTTCAGGTGGACAGTCGTAAACTTTTTTAAGTTCCATATTGTTGAAATTACTATTGCGTGTTTCTCTCCTCATCTAATAAATAATACAATTTAAAAAATAAGTTCTTCGGATTTTATTATATTAATAAATTTATTTTAAATTTAAATTATAATCACCTTTACTATTTGGTAATCCGTATTTTTAAATGATGTTCTTAGTTTCAATGTGTATGGATTTGCTTTGTCGACACGAATTTTTTTAATGTCATTCCACAGAACTTTTTCACCATTTACATCAATGTTAAAATTTGTACCGATATCTTTGCTTAAATCTTTTAAATTGAAAAAATCTTCAGAAGACATTTCTTTTACGGTGTATGGTTTTCCTTTTTGTTTTGCCGACTTAATAACTGATACCCATTGAGACGGTACATAGATCGGGCCACTTCGGAGTACCAATTTTTTTTGACGTTCTATTACTGAATGCATAGAGTCTCCTTCATTTTGTGTGTGGCCCACGATTAGAAACTTGTGACGAATTGTATTGATATTTAATACTAATGATGCGTATAAATATAAACATGCAATAAATTTATTTTTATTTTGTTCTAAACAGTTGTCAGAATAAAATATTATATTTGCTAAATTATTTTCAGTTCCATTAAATTCATTAGGCATAAAATCCAATAAACACGTACTAATTTCATTTGCACCCCGGTTTGCTATTGTCTCATTCCAGACGTAACACGTTCCTTCTCCGTTCTTCATATTATAAATTGTAAAATTGTATGCTGCTAAGCGTCTTTTGTAATAAAAGCTTGATACTTCACCGTTAGGTGCACTCAATATAGCTTGTAAATCAAAACAAGCGGTATACTGAAAACCATCGATTGCTTATTGTTTATCATCTTCTTTTTTCAATTGAACAGCATTTTTCATAAAGATGAAGATTTTGCAATAATTCTATTTCGTCAGTTTTATTTTCTGTATTTTTGTATGATTCACAAGTATTACATAGATTTTTTTTTGGTATAAAAAAACCAAAATTGTAATTAAAATTAAAAATATGTTGATACATAGCAAGATTAGACCACTTTTGCATACCTTGTTCTTTACAATATTCTACGTACATTTTGTACATTTTTGCTACATTTAAATTTCCAGAAATGTAAGTTTTTGTAGTCTGCTTTCTGAGATAATATGACTCAATTGTCGGAAAAAGTTCAATGTGTTTTTTTATCGACTCTTTAATATTTGAATCAAATGATTTTTGTTTCTTATGTTTGCCTCTAAAATCTTTGTCTAGAAAACCATTTTTCATTTTTTCTTTTACAGTTCGGATCATTCAACCTGAAATATTTAACGTATTCAAAAAAAAAGTTTTACATACTTTCACTCGTGTGAAATTAATATTTAAAAAAAAACCATAGTTCAATGGATCTTGAACTACCTGCTATCACATATCGATGTTTTGGATTAATTTCGGCGATATGCCTACTTACAAAGTCACGCTGTTTTGATAAATCTGCCAGATTCCAAAAGTCTTTGAAAATACATTTTCTTGCTCTTCAGTTATTTTACTGGTGCATTTAATTCTGCAATTCGTACTACATGGCCCTTGCATAGATTTAGCATCAATAATTTGCTTTTTCGAATTTATGTACTGTAATCCTGAATTTTTATTTTTACGCATGACATTTTTCTACCATTTTTTGGACAAACGCTTTCGTTTTCTAGTCGGTGTGTCAACTTCTTCCAAATCTGAAGATGAAGAAGTGGCCGGAACAATATTAACATCCGATTCTTGATATTTTTCAATTGGCGGTACATTTTCTTCATCGCTATTAAAAGCTAATATTGAATCATATTCAATCTCATTTAACGGGGTCCAGTCACTGCCACTATCTTCAAAAAAATCATCAGAACTTGCACTTTCCATTAAACTTAAAAAAAACACACTTTTATAATTAAAAAAGCCAGATACGTATACGTATAACACGCGTAATAACGATCGGATAGTTTGACAGAACGACGAACACTGAGAATAATATAGTATTTTCCATACCTATCTAACAAATTTCAACTTTAAATCTAATAATAATATTATTGTGTGTGTACTAAGCTTAGTTTAATAATCTACAATATTATTCGATGTCATAGAACGACCAACTATATATAATTGGTTTCAAAATACAATAGATAAAACGGCTTTTCTGAAAAAAATATGAGTTAAAAATAATTTATTACACATAAAAGTGTAAAACGTCGTAACTAAATCTCAAACAAATACTAATACTAATTTGACTACGGTCGTTTTAGCAATTCGATCAGTAAAATACGAATTTTAGAATATGCACTCAACTCAAATTGTACAAATTTTGAATTGTGTCGTTCTTCTTCTGGGTGTACGATATGGATCAATAAGTAGTAGTGAATATGAACAATCAAAGTATGGACGAGCGTCTCGGGAGCAAAATTGCGCAACCAATCAGAAGCGTTCACATTTCTTATCAATATTTGTGAAAATCACATTTCTTATCATCATTTATACAAATTTGAAATTTTATTCTGTGATATATTCTTCAATCATACAGAATACAGATTACAGGTGTTATACTTAATAATTTAATATATTATTATTTTAATTATAAATTATAATATTTACACATAATAATATGGAAAAGTTAGACATTGCAACCAGTAACATGGAAGAGCTTAAGTGCTTAGTTTGCAACAAATATTTTAGCTATAAAAGAACATTAAAGAGACACTCAATTACTTGTGGCTCTAAAGAGCACAAAATTTTAATAGCGTGCAATGTCCAGATACAGCTTGCAATAAACATTCACAAACAAAAATTTAAAATTTCATAATAAGACTGGCGTGAAATTACAAACGAAAAAGAACGTTTGCAACTCTTCATGGTAAATTTGATTTACTTTTAATTTTACTTGAAATATTCTGTTTTACTATCCAAGACTAGTATGCCACACTTATAGTTATATTGTATTATGAAATATATATCTTTATATTTCAAGGAATGGAAATTAAAACTGAAGATGATAATTATGTTTTTATGCGTTAAGTGCTAAAGTAATACGTAACTGAACGAAGTACAACAAT